CAATCTTAAACAGCAAGATGATGAACAAAGCACATAGCTGCAATAGCTTAGCAAATATATATAACCTAAGAAAAGATTGTAGTTTAACTCTACAGAGCCTCTTTTGGTCATTATTACTAGAGGAAGATTTTGATTGTCATGTGTGGTCTAATTAATCATTTGATATCTGCAGTCCACTGAGAACAAATGGATAATTGATGGAAATTCACTTACAAATATAATACACTCCCAAAATAGCCTAGCCAAGACCCCAGGAAAATAGTGACCTGTGTTAAGATTTCTTTTTGTTATTGGAACATTTGCATCATGCTGTAGATTTATTGTGCATGTCTTCCTGTAAGAATGGCATAAAAGCTAAATTTAAAATATAAACCACCTAATCATTTTACTAATAAATAGATTGACCTTTAAAAACATTGATCTCATGGCAAGTTCCAGCATCTTTCAAACACAGGAAATATTAATTCTGGCACAAGAATATTCAGTTAGCTTTGTACATAAACTGAATTAGGGTTGTTTTTTTTAAATCACTTGTCTAGACTGATAGATTAATATGTAGACATGAATACATATTAAAGTTGAATCACAGAAGTTTGCTTTTGAGAGATCACAAGACCTATAGGGGTAGCTAATGAAGAAGAAATGATCAGTGCCAGTGACCTTGGAGTTTAAATGCTTCAGAGCCTGCTGAGATGAGCAGGTGCCAGGTGAATTCATACATTACAAATGCCCTAAAGCACGAATCATCTATTTATATGTCTCTTTCTTTGGACTTTGAGCTATGTCCTAGGATGCTCCTTGGACACAACCTTGGAAATTATAAAAAACCCTGTGATTTTATACCTCAAGACCAAACCAACCCATTTGTCTTCAAAATTGTTTGCTAACAGTATCCACCTCCTCACTTTTGAAGTAACTGGATATGATTTAAGGTGCAAAATAAGGATGTTTTCCTTATTTTTCTGCATAAGATCAGTAGTGTTTCCTTACTTCCAAATAACTGGGCAGTGTTAGTCCTGTGAAAATCTGATAATGGCCATTAAAACTCAAAATACAGACATAATCCTTAGCAAAAATTAAAATGAAAAAGACTGATAAACATGCAAACACCACACATACCTGGAATGCCACAATTTTTAATACCATTCTTTACAGATTGAAATTCAAGCTCAAACATGAACCTCCCTGAGCACATTTATTAATTAAAAAAGCATTAGCCCAGGCTTTGCAGAGAGGGGGAATGTTGTATAATTAGCAAATAGTGAAAGCAACAGAAGATTTCTCACTGGCTTCACACAGTTACTGCATTGAGCACTCTCCTTAAGTGCCAGAGCTCTGCCACAGCAACTGAGCTGGCAGACACCTGAAGTAAAACTCACAAAGCTGAGTTGACTCTTTTTTCACCTAGAAAATTTAGGTGAACTCCTTTAAGAAGTAAATCTCAGGTCTTTTCCTGTAAGTCCCTATGGAATGTTACTCCAGAGAAGTGCAAAAAGGTGTCACATTCAGGTCTCTATATTATAGAAAGGATTTTTTCAGAGCCCAGGAATTCATTAATTCTTTGAACAGGGAGTTTGGGAATTCTATCCAGATTACTGAATGGCTTATCATCTATCAGGGCCTTTCATTCCAATGTCACAGGAGAAGCTTACAGGTTTTTATGGTCAAAGTCAAGTATTCCAGCCTGTCTGAGCATTTTGCTATGTAGAAGCAGTCTATTTGGCTTTCTAAATGAAGTCAAATAGAAGGAAATGCTGCAGAGAATAAGGAGATTATCTGTGTAAAACAAGCCTAAGTGTGTGAGACTACATAGAAGAGAGAGAAAAATACCACAGCATAGTGGGAAAAATCCTTGACATAAACAAGAGTATTAGCCATAGGACATGTTTGCTCTTGACCTAAACACTCTAATGCTTCCAAGCAGGGAACACACTTTCATTAGAAATAAGCACTAATCCCAATTCTTCAGAGATGAACTTCAATTGATTTGGAATTCAGATAAGCCTTAAATCATTCACATATTTGAAGATTATCTAAATTTTTCCATCACTGGGGGTCTCACACTTGTTGGCATCCATAAAGCTGAGGTTACTGGGTGCACCAGGGACTCTTGGCCGTTCTTTTCTCCAACACCCTAAAAACCCTGTATGCTGGGTGAGCACCCCTTCTTCTGGGTTTTGGGAGGCCCCAAGATCCCAGATGCTAGCACTATATGGCCTCATACTATCTCTTTTTTAGCTATGTTACCCTACAGCTTCTTCCACACCAGAATTCCTAAATATCTCTTTCTGTTGAGTTTTCAGTAACTCAGTTTACTCTTTTTTCACAAAAGGGCATTTATGCTGCTGCTCTGTGCTAAGGCTCTGTGCTGCACCACATTTCCCGGGGCATGTACCCTGCTAGCAGTCTCTGGGAGCTGCCCTCTTTCCAGCTCTTCATGGCAGCTTCCTCCTCCTTCAGAGGGCCTAGAGTTTGCCAGCCCCACTTACATCTCAGAGCTCAGCCTCTTTTCATTTCAGCTTCTCTTATTTTGTATCTGGGATAAGCTATTAGGTATATAAGTTTCAGAATCCCGTTGTACAGAAAATGTTTAAGAACATTTAACAGCAGACAGACAACAGTCAATCAGCACCTGCTGGATGCTCAGCAGTTATCCATCCTCTTTCTCCTTTTCCCTCCCACAATCATGTTTTGGCTTTCTACCAAGGGAGAGCCATCCTTCTTCACCAGCTGTTCCAAATCCCTGATCCTTCACATGCATTTTATGGAAAATATTACCACATTGTGGTACTAAGCTGAGGCTGACAATGGAAGTGGGAAGATCAACCTAGCATTGCTTTCACTAGGCTATAGTAATTTTAAATTAGGTCTGCATGGATTTTAATAGAATTCTGTATAAATTCTGGATGCTTCATGATCAGAGATGAGATGTAGTAGATACTCTTTTTTTGCATTCTCACTGAGTTCACCTGTATCTTAGAACTTATAGAAAGGATCTGGTTGTGTGCAAAATGTGTGAAAGGAGATTCACAAACACACAAAGTCTAGTCTAATTTTCCACTCAAACTGGTGTCCCTGCTAGTAGTCAAAGGATCCCTGTCTGGGTTATGTTGAGAGTTGAAAAAAACAGCAAATGAAGGACATTGGGATAAAAATCATATTGTGGTTAGAATTTTTCATGCTCATTATTCACTCTAAGAAGCAGCTACCAAAAGGTCAATCAATGTTACAAAAGAGGGAAGCCAGATAATATGGACAGCTAAAACATACTATCCTCGTAGACCTGATATCATTTTTCAGAAACTGCTACTTTGCAGGAAAACCTAGAAGAAAATAATTTTTTAAGTAATTGTCTCATAGAAGAGCAATTTCTCATGCAGCCGAGTGCCAATATAACAACTCCTTGGTGTTATCTCCTTGCAGAACAGCTGATAGCAAAACACAGGAGAGCCTACTTGCCCTACAATACAGATCATTTCTCTTCCAGACATACAAAACTTCATTGCTTCAGAGAAATATTCACTAATAATGGGAACAAAATTATGAGGTAATATGTTGTGTCACCGATCTAGGAGCAGCATTTAACTTTCCTAGACTTGAGTACAACCCCCAAGCATTAGATTGGAGCATGGTTTGTTACTGGTGGGCACCTTGCACTGACTTTTACTTGCAGGCAAAATGTGTGTAAAATGTTACCTACGTATCAGCCTGCTTTGCTGTAAGGACAAAGGGCACTTTGATCCCAGTGCAGGAGATTACTGTACTACAGATTTTTTTCTCAAAAATCAACTTTGCCTAGAGAGAAAAACTGCCTAAAGCAGCCTGAAGGCATGAAAGTCTCTGGAGAATACCCTCTGTGATTTCTAAGACTTCCATCATAATCCTATTCAAGAAAACTGCTTTTTGTTAGAATACTGTGAAATCAGTAAAAAATGAGTGCCAGTTCCTGAAAAGTGTAGATTGAGGGTTGTTTAGGATATGGGGAAAAGGATCTGCTATACAGGGCAGTTTCTTTGTCTCTCAACTAGCACAAGGTACAGTATGGACAGTTTATGTGATGCACCTGAACAAAAACAGCTATACCATGTCAAACCCCCCCCATTGAGTTCTCCCAGCTTAGGCTGGGGCTGAGTCCACCCCTGAAAAACCTCTGAAATGTATATCTTTACACTTACAAATGTAGAAACGTACAAACATACATGTAACAATAACATTCCCAGCACCTGGAACCTTAGCCAGATGTTAGCAAAAGCTACCAGTCTTTGCTGGCTGCCTTGGCTCCTTTTGGGGTACATGGTGCAAGAGAGGACTCATTTCATTTTTCTGAGATCTTTAGCTTCCTAGGGGAACAGCTCTCCACAGGTCTTTTCCCAGTGACTAACAGGAGACCTCAGTGTCTACCTGAAGGCTGGGCAAGATGAATCATTACAAACTTCTGGTGGGTGACAGATTGTGTCAGATACCATTTAAGTTATGTCTCAAAACAGAGACATTGCTCCTTTCCAACAAGCAGGGAGACTGATTGAGAATCCAGCACTGCTTGAGTCAGGCAATGAACAAACTCATGTACTGAGTCTGCATCCCTATGTGGGATCTGATCCTCAGAAAGAACAGGATATACTGAGAAGAAACATGGGGCAGGTGCAGGAAAGTATTGGGGCATTATCATGCCCAACCTGAAGGCAAAATAAAGAAATTCTCCTAGAACTAGTTGGATTTCTGGGCAAACAAAGGTCATTTGTGTTATTTTGTGGAGGGCTTTCTATGAGTGTAATCTCCCCAGGCAAGGGTCATGTTTGTGTCCGTTACTTATTTTCTTTTCTCTAGTGATCCTGCAGTCCTTCCATTGACTTCAATGGCAGTGCCATGAAGCAATGGACTGACTCTAGGATTGGGCTATTTACTAAGCAAATAATCTGAATCAGCAGTTTTGGAGTCATATGGGCACCCAATAAGCTGCCTGTTTTGTTGTTGGATTGGCTATAAAATCCCAAATCCCCTCAGCTCCTGGCTGCTGGCACCAGGGCTCACTAAGCAAGCAGAATGGCCTTTCAGTCTGTGCTCTTTGTTTTCTTAGCTGGACTGGTATTTTTCTCTGAAGCTGCACCACTGGTGAGTTTCTTTGTTTTCAAACTCAATCATTACAAGAATGATAATCTAGATTTTCTAGATGACTAGCATCCTCCTCATCCATGAAATTCTGTAAACATTGGGCTTTGTCAGAATGCTATTTCTGGGGGTTTTTTTATAGTATTCTTCAGAATTCTTAAAACTTTTTTCTTTTCTTGTAATTTACCCACCTATTTTAAGGTATTATGGAAGGGTCAGGGTTCTAGGTGGTGTGACCTTTTATTTTGCTTTGTTTCTATCTGTTCATGACTCACATCCCATATCCTCAATAAAGAGGCAGCTTCACCAAACAAGTGCTTCTCTAAAGCACTAAAAACTATTTTTGAGGTATGACTAAGGATTCCTTATAATGTAATGAAGTCTAAGACAGGGATACTCTTTCAGCCTTAGGATGTCATATGTATTTCTTTGTTGGTTTCCCTAGATAACATACTTTGTCTGCACTTAAAAGAATTTGCTATTTCCGTATTTATGATCATATTATAAAGGTATAACATAATACCATTTTCATAGAGCCATTTAGAGCAACTATAAATATTGATCAAGCAATCTGTGGGTGTGTAATAAAGTATCAGTATAGGGCTCTAAGATATCCTGCTTAAGAAATAGATGTTTGGAAATTAGCTTTGAATAGCATTGGCAGAGAACTTGCTTTCAAGTGAATGGTAATTCCGCAATTAGAATCTATCTTTTCTTTGGGAGAAGGTGTTTGAAGGCTTTGTGAACTGTTCCTATCAACTTCTCCTTTCCCCAAGGTCTCCCATGGCTCTGTTGATTCCAAATGCCCTCTTATGGTGAAAGTGCTGGATGCAGTCAGAGGAAGCCCTGCATCTGGTGTCAATGTTAAAGTTTTTAAACAGGCTGAAGATGGAAGCTGGCAGGACTTTGCTGTTGGGTAAGCTGTGTGATCTTCTGGAGCTGTTTTCAGGGTGCCTTGGGCAAGCAATTGAATAGTTAAAGGAATGGAGCTCTGATCAAAACCAAAATATGTTTTCTGACACATGTACCACACTATCAGTGTTCACAGCACATTAATTCTGATCTCAAATCTGTTAGATTTAAGTGGAACTTATCTGTGACTGAAATGCTAATTGCAAAAATATGTTCAGATGCTTATCTTATCTTTGTAAGGGGCTAGTTTTGATACTTATTTTTTCTCCTAGCTTCAGTATTATCTTTCCTTTCTATAGAAAAAAAAAAGAAAAAAAGCCTATTTACCAGCATTTTATAGGTAATCCAGACAAACCTACATTCACATGCAATGGATATAGAGCTTTATTTGCATCACTCGCATACAAAATCCTCTCTGTAGGCTTTGTCTGCACACATGTAAATAATAATTTCATTATTCTTCTTCTGCTGGTTGGAAGAAATGTGCTGGTTGGAAGAAACTCCTTGACCAGATAGTTTTTAAGAGTACTATTGTAACTATTTAAGTTACTATTGTAACAACACTGAAGCAAAATCTCAGCAGCTTGAGGTCATTTCTCTAGCTCTGAATGTGTTTTTCTAGAATGACAGACCAATACCAACAGATATCTAGCATCCTTACAAATACCTTAGGACATCACAGAGGGTCAGACAATAATGCCTTCAGTCTGTGACAGGTGTATGAGTAACAGAAGAACACAGTTTACTAAAATTCAAGTAGCTGAGGTATTTAGACATTTAATTTTCATTGCAAAACTTTGTTGAATCAGATTTTTAAATAACTCAATAGAAGTTTCCAATAGTAGCAGAATATTCAAGCACAGAATGATAAGCACAAGAATGGACAGGAGTCTACTGTACACTGAACTGTCTTTTACTAGGATTTTTTATAGCATGATTTACACATAAGCAGGAGGGGGGGAAAAAACCAGAGAAGAAGACTATAAGGAGAAATAGCTTTTTCTCCATCTGAATGGTTTCTTTTTATATAATGAAAACCAAAATACGCTTTTCTGCATTGAAAAGTAGCAAGAAAGTTTAAAAGATTTAAAAAAACAAACTCCATTCCCTAGTGCTCAGTGTTAACCTAGGAATAAATGACTCCTAAAATGAATTTCTATTCTTTAATGAACAGAGAAACTCCATGAAAAGTGACACATTTTTTTCAAGGAAAGCAGAGACAAGGATAACATCTTATCCCTAGTGAGCATTCCTTTCATTATTAGAAAATCAAATTATTTAAAATGTTTCATCAAGTACTGTTTAACAGTTAATACAAAATACAATTTACAGAAGAATAAGAGAAATGTATTGTCATTATTAAAAGCCCTCACTTCTGGGGCATAAAAGAGTTTTCTTGTTCAGTTTGCAACCTTGCTCTCAACAAGCCCATGGGGACAAATCCTGTAGTTCTTAGGCAACTTCTGCTGACACTCAAGAAAATCTAATCACATATTCTTAAACATAAATTGAGAAGATTAACCCTAGGCAAGTGAGTACCATTTTGCTGGGGGATGGCAGTGAAGGAACATTAAATCACAACTTTTATTGCAGGTAAAGGTTTTGACATTTTTCCTGACTTGCATCACAACCAAGGCTGCTTTCAGTGATACCATTGACTTTAGCTGATGGCAGTTGTTTGAACCAAGTTTTCATATGCAATTACAATTTTATTCTTTTGGGGAAGCCAGAATTTCCCTGTGTTAAATGAAATGTGAAAATGTGAATGAATCCAGGAACACAATCTGTAAATACTCCTGTCAGGTGAATAACATTTTGAGGTTACAGTACATAGCAGATACATATGGGAAAGTTACATTTTGTACAAATGTCTGTTATAGTTATGTTTTTACCATTTTGTTTTCTTATGTTTACTTTGCAAGCACACTTCATGGAATTAAGCAAATGTACTTAGCAACTGTTGAATTTGAGCAATGGTGTGTAAGGGGCAGTGGGGAAGTTAGAATAGTAGTAGCTGACTTTATTAAGAGGCTTATTTCAAAATTACTCTAGCTAAAAACATGCAAGAAGAGATAACTTGAGCTAAGACATACCGGGGAAGGGTTTAGGGTGCAGAACATGTGATTTAGATTCTATATGAGATCCTCCCATGACTAGCTTTGATCTTCTCACTCCTCACAAGTTTTTTGAAATCTAGGTCTTATCATGTGGTTCAAGAGTTGCAGTCAGCAAACACAGTTTTCATATGAGCTGGGTTATAAGTCATGAAAGAAAAGACTTCTGTGTATTTTGAAGTGGTTCCCCAACCTCCTTTTTCTTTTTTTTTTAACTCCAAAGACCTAGTGTTCCTGAGATGTTTCCTCATCAGTCTGCATCTGAGAGCAGTATATCCTAAGAGTCCATAAACATCATTGTACAGGCAGTGTAGATTTAACCTGGCTACAATATACAGCTAAGGTCCAGACAGTCAAAAATAGGATCAGGACTGCAGTATGGGCTGGCACTGTAGTAACTTTACTGGAAAAGCACAGCTTTTTAATTTAGCTGTCCATCTTACAGCAGATGCTGGCAGTCCACATCCTGTTAAGAATAAGGAACCATATTATATTTAGTCCCCCACTCAGAAATACAAGTGCTGCTCAGAAGCAATCACAGCATTTTGCTACCAGTGCTGAATACTGAGCATCCCTGCCTTGTTCTCATCCCCTCCAGACTCTGAATCACACAGTGTCCTGTTGGCTGTCAGTGCAGCAGTAATGCTGAAGGGTTTCCTTGTGTGACCGGTTGCATTGAACGGCTACCACTTAATAATTAAAATAAAGGAAGTGCCATTAACTTCTGGTAGCAGGCATGCATTTTCAAGTGAGCTCTTGTTTCCAGTTTCCCAGCTGTTCTGGATGGTTAACATCTGACACTCTGGAGCACTACCCCTTAGGAAAAGCACCATTCCAGCTCCATCCACACTTTTCTCAAACTAAAACTAATTTGTTTTTCTGAACAAAGATTTTGAGGCAGACACCATTTTTCCTTTTAATTGCTTGACTAGACTATTAAGATTATAGGCAGAAGTACATGATTTGCTAACTTCTGCAGGATCTCAGTAAGTCTGTTTCACAGCTTCAGGCACACTCACAAATGAATTCTTTCTTCTTTTATTAAAGCAATATAGATCAAACTAGGAATTACTAATTAAACTAAAAGAAAACAGATGCATACATTTTACAAACTGACTGTGATACTTGTTTCAAATACGACTTTGATTCTCTGCAGGTTTGGTCTGCCCTGGTTACACTTGATTACACTTGTATTGGATCAATAAGATTTTTGTCAGCCTTGACAAATAAGAAAAATTAAAATTAGTAGGAGATTTTCAATCCTGCTACCTCTTAATTTAAGCAAAAGCTCTGTCATTCAGTCTTTTTTTATTTACCACCATTAACCAAAGATTACAAATAAGGTGAAGGAGGGGAAAGGGACTGGGAAAGAAAAGCCCAATAACACAACTGATCCTGTCCCAGATAAGCAGCATGTCACTGCTTTCTCCACTTCCACTCATTCTCCTCAAGTTTGTTTTCTGCCTAGACAGTTACTCCTTGCCATAAGACAGGAAAGTTCCACTAGTTCTCCCAGTCAAGGCTTTCTTCATTTTTCCTTCAACTAAATCATGTGGTTACGAAGTGCTATAAATATCAAATAAATATTTTCAGCAGAAAAAGACCCAAACAAAAACAAACAAACACAAAAGGTTAAAAATTCAGAAACTAAGTAAAAGGAGGGAAAAGAGATAAATGGTGTTTAGGAGCTAAGTATGTAAATATTTAAACAGCTGTCATACAAAGCTTGAAAAGCCTCCTTTTCAAACAAATAAGGTGCAGTGCCAGCTATACTTCCTTCTTGCTACTGGAATTTCTCCATCCCACAGTTTTTTGTTCTGAGCTGAGCACATAAGCTCTGAGCTGGAATTCCTATTGCTCATTTATGTGGTACTCAGTGCAAGAGGGCCCTGCTCCTTGACCAAGGCATTGTAATTCAAATTATTAAAATCTTATGATGCTAAATTGCTTTTTCAAGACGTTATCACTAATGGTCACATAAAATCACATCATTGTATAGGAATAAACTCCAGACCCTCCGTGCAAATAACTGGAAAACAAAATAATTTTCCAATAAAATTTCTCTTCTCTGGTTAGTTTTATTTTGAGATTTGGCATCTTGCCTCTCATCATGACATTCCTTCTCCTAAGACAGTAACCTTTGGTTCCAGAGAACATTGGGTACAAGTTAGACATGATACTAAAAGAGGGACCAGCCAACTTTGATTTGTGATGTATATGGGTGAGTTGGTAGCAAGGATAGATTCTACAATGTATGGAAACATCCACTACATAGAGGGAAGGAATTATTCCAGATGATTAGGCTGCTCAATGTAGAATTTGGCACCTCTGCTATTTAATATTCCACACTGACTGTTTCTGTTTAGCATCTAAATGATAGCATAAAATATTTATATAGATATTTAATCATTACAGGAAAACCACAGAGTACGGGGAGATTCATGATCTCACATCCGAAGAACAGTTTGTAGAGGGAAAGTACATGGTGAAGTTTGACACCAGCTCCTACTGGAAGGCGCTCGGGCTTTCTGCATTCCATGAATACGCTGATGTGAGTAGTGGCAAATATCCTTGATAACCAGTGCACACTGCTAACCAGTACACACTGATAACCAGTGCACACTGCTAACCAGTACACACTGCCTGTCTAGTGGCATCAGCTGGGAAGAGCAAACACAGCCCTCTAATACTGAAGGATCAGCAGCTCTCAGTGAAGTGGTTCACTGCCACACAGCACTGGGCAAATAGAGGCAGTAAATATCCAGCCAAGCCACAGGCAGGAGCCAACTTCCCTGCAAATGCTGACACAGCTCTTCCAAAGTGTAGCTGTGCCCATTCACCCACTCATACCAGCGGGGAATCTCGCTTGAAAAGAGCTGCATTATTCAATAGTTGACAGTTTTTATAAAAACAAACAAGAAAAACAAAATTAAACAAACAAACAAACTGCTTTTACTGATGCTGAAGGAATGGAGAGATTTAGAATGCCTAATTTTACAGGAAATAAGCTATGCTTACATCAGAGATATTTTCCCTATATCAGTCACATGAAAATCCCTGAATTCTAATATGACATGTAATTACAGAAAAAAAGCCTATTTTTTCTGGTGTGCCTTTTTTTAAATCTTGTTCAGTACCAAAAATATAGGTATAAAAATATATACAACTAAGAAATAAAGGTATTTTAAAAAGTAAAGAAATAACCATAGTGGGAAAGGAAAAGTTGACTATTTTACTGATACTCAAATCTCACAAGCAGGCCAGCAATGTGATAATGTCCTGTCTGTCCCTTTGCTTTCAGTGCTACATTGATTTATTGTGTACTCTATTCTATTATGTTTACTTAGCACATCCAAAATCTGTTTAAATTCTTCAGGCTTAATCTGTCATTAAATTTAAGTTTCCCCAATTTGAGTAGTCTAGAACAGTTACTGGTGGTGCTGTAGAACATTTCAAACCACAAGTTCATGGAGCCCTAGTGGAAGACTAAAATGAGTTACTGAGTCCCACAAAGTCTGAGGTGCCATTTAGGTCAAAAAAAGAAACCTCAAAAGTACTTCCTAACCATTTGGATGTCTGAAAGTTGTAAGAGATACACCTCAGAAGGTACTTGAAAGTACCTGAGACTTTTCCAGCTAGGCTGAGGAGGCTTTTCCTTGACATAATAGCCTACAGGCCAACAAGCTAGCCTGGGAAGTGGGAAGAGTTCAGGGATGGAGTGTGTACAGGATAGCTGAAGCCTACAGTCCTCATGTCCCAGCAGTTTAGACTTTGGTCATAGGAGAGAACTCTCTAGTCCACTTAGAGAAAGTGCCGCATGATTTAGAAAATAGATCAAATAGTAGGCTAAAGAAAGCTGGAATTTAACCCAGGTGACAATACTTTCCTGGGAATTGTGTGTCCCAAGTCCCATTGGACTAATTTGAAGAGCAGCAGATTTGAATTGTCTTAGGGCAAGGGTCTCTCCTTGTTCTGGCAAGTCTAGCCACTCAGTTCTTAATGCAAAAACTGACCCATCACCAATGGTCTTAAAAACAGGAGGGGGCACTGAAGTACAGAAAATGGCTTTGGGCTCCAGCTGCCTGCCTTGTTGGCCACGTCACACAGGGGTGGTATTTAAATTCCCTGGGTGGAATTTCACCCCTGTCTTTCTTACTGGTCATTTGAGATACCTCCCCCTTACCCTCTTATTCCACGTCACAAAGCAGTTTGCCTGGCTCAGGTGTGGTATTTCCATCCAGCTTCACTGCAGCTGAGGCTCTCTGTGGACCTCAGCCCAAATCCCACAAGTATCTCAGTCCTTGGCAATCACAAAGTAACGGGAAGCATTACCCTTCAGAAGGGCAAAAGCATTGAACAGAAGCAGCAAAGTGCTCTGCAGATGAGGTGGGGTGTGCTGCTTAGTTGTAAATGAGGTGCTTTGGCTGTATGTTGCTCATCATGACCAGGAGTTTTCCCTTTTCCAGGTGGTGTTCACTGCTAACGACTCCGGCCACCGCCACTACACCATCGCCGCTCTCCTCAGCCCTTTCTCCTACTCAACCACTGCTGTTGTCACTGACCCCCAGGAATAAACATGTACTGTCTTTTCACACTTTCCTCCACTAGAACTATCATAGGCTTTTCCTATTGCTAATGCATTACTTTTTGCTACATTAGTTGTTTGGTTTTTTTTTTCATTTTGTGACCTGGCAAACTTCAGACAAGTCAATAAAATATTACTTCTTTAAAACAATTTTGACTCAATTAGTGGAATTTTATTGGTTTCTAAAGTATTATAATTTGCATTAAAGTGCAAAGGACATCTGAAAAACACACATGGGATGTCACTTGATTTAGTTTTGTTATCTTCCTCCGCTGCCTTAAAGAAGTCTCACCAAATACATTGGCTCAGAACAGGAAATTTATATATGATTGTGTTCCCTTAAAAAAATTACCAAATAAATACACTTAAAATAAGAAAGCCATCTGTGCTACTCAAAGTTTACACACAGAAAATATGGTCCCACTATCAACTAGGTTATAAGGTGAATAGGTGAAATTCTGAATACCTAGCTGCAGAACAAACAATACAGAAACCATTGAAATAAGTGTGACCAGAGAGCTGAAAGACTTAAAATCTGTGTACCTTTACTTAAAACTTCAAGTAAATCTCAACACATTGATGTCTCAAGAGGAAAGTTAGCTGCTTGACCAATCTAGGAAGTACAGAAGTAATTTCAATTAGCACACTTTTTAACATCTTTGGTATTACAGCAATTATTTGACATAACACATCTGGCTACCCTATATAGATGCATTCCAGTTAAATCCCTAATAAGTCAAATCTGTAGCCATCATTAAAAAAAAGTCCAAAAAGAGAAGCATCATCTTAATAGCCTCTTCATATTTTTATAAGTAGGAAAAGGTAAACTGTAGAGTGACTGTGATTCAAATAAAGTTGCTGATAAACTGACTTAAGGCTTTGAGGGCTTTAGCAGTGATTTCTGTATTGTATTTAAAACATCCTGAAGTAGAGGAATTGGTTCCAACTGGATTGCATAAACTACAGAGAAAGAAACTGAAATCATGCCAGCCAGAGACCTGCAGCACTCATTTGCCACTGACCTTGGAGTTTATACCCAGAGCCTGCTGGGATGACAGCATGGCAAATGAATTCACAGGTTACAAAAGCTTCCCTTTAACATTTCACTGGTTACTTTTTCATGGATTTCTAGGTGCTAGCATAGTTACATAACTCTTGTAAGCAGTGCAAATAGTTTCAAAACAGCACCCATCATAAAGTATGGCGATTTCATGGGCTCCTGATATTTCTGGAGCTTGAAAACTGGTAGGTTTCATTTGAAGTGTTATGCTAAGCCCTCAAATAGGACTTAAATTTGCTCATATAGATATACTCAGGAAAAAAACAAAAAAAAAAAAAAAGGGAAAAAAAACCTACTCACTCTGCTTGTGGTCATCCATCTAATGAGAGGAGAAACCTAGTAAAAGAGTGCATGTACATATGTCTGAGCAAACATCAGAAAGACAAAGTTGAATTTCAAGCAGCCACATTTCCCTCAATCGAACCAGATGCTTCTGGTCAGAGTTGACTTGCAGTTATATGGGGAAAGTCCTGAGCTTGTACTAAATCTAAGGGACAAGAGCCACAACTTAAAATACTGTTAAAATGAGCTTCAGAAGTGGGTGTGTAGGTATCTTGATGCCATGCTGAAAACCAAAAGTAATATATTTTTCTTCCTAGGGAATATGTAAGATAATGAAGTAGCCCACAGATTATCCACCTACATTTTATTAGAGGTGGGGAGGAGAGTGACATGGAGAGAAATCTCTTAATAAATGAGCATGGCTGACTCAGTTAAGCTAAGCCATAACCAGGGAGAATTTCTCACTGAAATTGCTGAGTTGACATAAAATTTGTATTTCTCTCAGCTATATACAGCAACTATTCCTCAAGACAGCATTATTCCTCAATAAAAAGGGAAAAATAGAAAATAGACATTTCTTTGAAGAAAATTGACACAGCAGTTGAACTAGGCAACGTTCACAAGATTTCCACAGACAAAGTTCTAGAATAGAAAAGACTTATTTTCACAGACAAGGTTCATGTTTGTATGGGTTACTTATTTTCTCATTGTTTACTAAGTAAATAGTATGAATCTACGTGTTGAAAGTCATAGGGGTTTTCTGATAAGTAGCTTCATTTCAGAGGCCTTGATATAAAAATCACAGCTCCCACCATTTTCTGCTTGCTGACACAGACTTCCTAGTGGTAGTCAAAATGGCTTTTCATTCTGTATTTCTCGTTTTCTTAGCTGGCCTGGCACTTTGCTCTGAAGCTGCACCATTGGTAAGTGTCTAAGGACTGAAGTCCTTCCACTGATGTAGTCCCAATTCTTTTCTTTTATTGTTTTTTCATTATTATTTTGATTTTACAGTATGTACTGACTGTAGTTCTCTGCTCTTACTCTTTTCTGGTCCTTCTTTTTCCTTCTCTAGTGATTAGTGAGAGGACTTTATGGGTAGAGAAGTAGCACTTGTCATTAGACACAGCAACTACATGAAAAACAACGTAAAACAAGATAGGAAAAACTATTGTATTCACTAGACAAAAAGCCTTGTGCATTCATAACGTAATGAACAAGCTGTGTCATGAGGAATTTCATCTCCTGTTGCAAAATCCATGCTAGAGAAATCCATGCCTTCTCTAGACTTCTGCCTTACTGCTCTACTCACTAAAGCTTAATCCCATGTAAGTAAAGAGCAGATCTAAAGTCAGGATTCTTCTTCCAGAGGGCTCATTTATCCCAGGAAAGCAAGCTAAAGACTCAGATGTTTCTGCCTGAAATTCTCCTGCAACAGCCTTGTCTCTCTCTCCTCAACTACTCCTTTTTCGTCTCAACTCTGATCCTTGGGAAAACAGTACCTGACTAGCACTGTTGAGGAATTGGGGTTTCATTGAACTCCCAGGGTGCAAAAGTCAGGAAAATCAGCGGTGGCAGTGCATCCCTTCTTGCCAAGGCCTCGTGAGTGTCACCAGTGAGGAGCCACTGCATTCCAGAAAGGGAGCATGGGGAATCTGGGCATACAGGCAGTATGGATACATGCTGACACATTGGTATGATACTAGTCAGGGTTCCTGGCCTGTGGAGCATCCCAGATTGTAAGAGGGCATGAAAGAGAGGGCTCTTAATTTTTAACCATCTACACCACAATTCATTTTACAATGATTAAATGGATATCAATGACTGCTATTTTGAGATCATCCCTGATTAGCATCTTCTACAAAGCTCTATTTTCTCATTCTTCATCTGCAGAATTGGGTAAGGTCAAAGAACTGATTCAATTCTATTTTTGAAAAAGTAAAACATCAGGCCCTAATCACTACTTGTGATGGATGCATCAGGATGAAACTACAGCCATCCTGTATTTAAAGGAAAGCTTTTCTCTCCTGTCCTTGTGTAGCTGCCAGGGTTGACAAATCTGATTCAACATGCTGTTAGGAGAGAGTCTGTATGTGGTGCTTATCATGTTTACAGCAGAACTGTAACTCTGTGGCAACAGAGATAGCTCTATGGAACAGGGTATCAGAGGCTCTCAAATCCAGAAAGCTGTGCTCAAATTGCCAGTCCAAAATGCAGGGGAAAAGTTGGTAGATATTTAAACATTGCTACTACCTTTGAGGATGCAATTATTTCCTGCTGAGACCACAATTTCATTACAGCTTCATGCTGGAGATGATGTGTACTATGCCATGCCAAAGAAGAAATAGAAATGTGGTCTCACACCTGCAGTGCCTCCTTGGTGTGCATGACTACATGCCCAACAGCTCCTGAAACCTTCCTTCCTGGCTCTACCATATCCAGCCCCCAGAAAGCTTCAGATAATGTTTCTTCAGTACACAGCAATATTCTCATGGAAAATATGGTCTCCACTGTAGATCTGGAGAATTATATTCCTTACTGTTTTATGATGAAATGTCATGCTTCTTGCAACATAAAAATTCTCTCCCTATTGCAGGACCATCCTGATGCCAAGCATCCTCTTTCTGTAAAAGTTGTGGATTCTGTCCGCGGAAGTCCAGCTACAAATGTTGCAGTTAAATTATACAAAGGAGCTGCAGATGGATCTTGGGAACTGTTGAATTCACAGTAAGTCACACTAAAATAATGAGTGAAAGATGAGAAAGGCAATGGGAAGAGGCCAAATAGTTGAAAGAGCAGTTCCACTTTCTCTAAAATGAGATGTCTGTTTTGCTCAGAGGAAAGTTAACATACAATTGAATTAACTTGCTGCAGACTGTCTTCTAAATGTACTTCAATTTCAACTACAAAAATGGTTTTATAGTGCTTTATAAATTTTATGAACAGGAGAAAGTATTTTAAGCCATCCTTTAATTCAGTCATCACTTCTCTTTAATTTTGTTGCAAAGGTCTATATTACCTTTTAGTACCCAGCAATGAACTGCTGCATTATTACCAGAAGTATCAGATAGACTCTTACATTTTGAAACCAAGATTCTGGTAGAGAATCCTACCTTTATTGGCCATTTTCCATCTTTCTAAGTGGATTTTCATTTCTTACAACACCAGTTTTAAAAAGAAACTGTTTTGAACGTATACCACGTCATGTTTGCTAGCCTACTTTACTTCAAGATAAAGGACTTAGCCAAAAGAAGAAAATTTTGGGATAAATCTTTCTCACCTTCTCCCCCACAAAGAAGCAATCATCCCACAAATAATAAAAAATAATCTCCAGATATATAAATATTGTCATATCTTTTGAAAAACATAATTGTATAATTTAAGATGCAGATGACTTTTTCAATAGCCGTCTATTTTAGTAAATATTAACACTTGAAAAAATAAAAAGCAATTTTTACTTAAATTATAGCCTGAAATTTAATTGGAAAAATTCTTAGGGGATACACAGAATGAGCATTCTTTATTCACCAAGCAATATTCCACTTCCACACTAAGCTCCTCATGATAGTTGCAAAGTCTCATCCGAGACATTTCCAGGTATGCTAACAGTCTATTACACTTTTTAAAAATAGTGAGAAAGGGCTCTCAAGCTGGCATAGCACATGAACTTCAACAGTGGAATCCTGAACTCAGATATATTTCTATAAATTCCTGCAGAAACTGCTCAAATGCCTCTTTGGTGTCACGGGGCAGTGGGCTGGCACAAGCAACACTGTTCTCATGTGTCCTTGAGAAATATAGATACAGTGAAGGCCACACATACCTGTACAATGTGGGGAAAACAATCTATTCATGTTGTCCTGGTTAAATTGCCTCACTCCCTCAAGTGAGAAGACAATTTCACGCATATTCTATCACTGTAAATGTGTGAAATTTTCCAGTAAGGGCGTTCAGTTCAATTCATTTCTGAGCTTAGAGATTCTATATAAAGATACTCATAACAGCTGGATATTGATTGAAGTCTGAAAAACACAGTTAATATTTGAAACAAGGAGCAAAGTAACCTCAAGATAAGGTAAGCAAAAGTCATGCTAATACTAAATCAATCTCTCCAACCTTAATAATTTGTAAATAATTGAATGCTAGCAAGATGTCCTGTAGCAAATGTTCTTAATCAAAATGCATTTCGTATTATCTGAAAAAGCTTATTAGAGAAGTGGCCAGTTATCGAGCAATGATCAATCTGTGACAAAAGGAAAAAAGGAGACAATTGAACAGATATAAAACTTCTGATAACTGACTACAGAGCATCTTGTAAGGTGTAAAAGGTATTCTATACTTTATTTTCTAAACTACATGAAAAAATAAATCTTAAGTATTGCACTGCACAATGACATTACTTTTCTCTGCATGAAATTTGAATAAAATATGTTCAGAAAAAATTAGGCAGCTGGAACGAAAGTAAGTGGTCTTTACATACCAAAATCAGCCACTGGCATCTCTATTATTTGTGAATAACCTACCTAATATAAAAATTCCTAATTAACAAAATTTATTTCACAGAAATATGTTTCAAAAAAGGGGCATATATGAGAGACAGCATTCAATATTGCCTCTGAACCCCAAAATGGGTTGGTGTTTAAAGATGTATGGTTTCATACCAGTACTAGGGCTTTAGATAACACTGATAGTATCTTCAAATCAAACAAAACTGCCTGTTGGTTGAGGCCAGTACAAACCACAAGAAATTCCATGAAGCTTCACTGCTAACTGACCTATGGTGATTTTAAATAGCAGACCTCAAATTTCTAAAATCCAACTGTAAACAATATTTACATTGATAAAACAACTCAATGCATTTAAATAAGAAAGAAAACCATGGAAAAAACAGGACAATTGACCCTACTTAGTTGCACAGTGAGTGCCTCATAGAGCTTGCACGTTGCTTACAGCAGTGGTGAAGTTTTCCCTCTGAGTGGGTTCATTTAATTGAACTCCAAGTCTCTGCCAAGAGTCTATGAACAATAATGCCAGTTTTTGGCTCACCCCCAAACCATGCACAGTTAATGAGATGGCAGGCAGCCATCTGCTGTGGTCACTGTGGAAGTAGCAAATGCCAAGATAAGCTCTGAGGCATCCATAATACAGATGGACATAAGCCATTCCAGATCAATAGAAGTATTCATCCTATTACTTAAGCCACACACCACTCAAGTTCAATTGCTAAAACTGCATCTTTCTCAGGCTTTTAACCAAACAATAAAAGTGTGTTCTTCTACCATTACACAGACAAACCAATGAAAAAGGAGGCCTCTCAGAGCTTACCACGAAAGAACAATTTGTAGCAGGGTTATACAAGCTTGAGCTTGATACAGCCTCTTACTGGAAGAGTATGGGCTTGAATCCCTTCCACCAACACGCTGATGTGAGTATTCCTTTCTTCTTCTACTTCAGTTGCAAAGAATAAAGATACTTAATATGTGTGGACTTCAGCTACTAATTGCATAGGTTGGACTTTATTTTCAGTTTAAAATATTTTCACATTAACACTTTAAATCCACAGTCTCAAAGCTTTGTAGGAACACAGTCATGACAGAACCTAGTTACTAGCTCCCCCACAAGTCTCAAAGCTCCTCAGTGCATTATTTATGGAGACGTTTTCATTCCTTCTACCTCTACTTAAGCCCATGATTGTTTTTGTGATTTTTCTAAGTGTTTGAGGGACAATGAGTGGAGTACTCTGTGAAGTCCCCTAGGAAAAGCATTGATCTGTCTTTTGGAGACAACATTTTCATGGCTACAGACAATGTTCATAATTTAGATTTTTAAAGAAACAAAAGTATGTAATACGTTCTGGAGGCTTGGAGCCCCAGTTTACAACAGAAAAAAAAATAAGGTACAACATGCCTCTTTAATTTGCCTGGGACAAATAAACTGGTTAGAGGAAGGTGTTCCAAACCAGGTACTGCTGAGTGATTTGGGGACTGTCTCCTTCCCCTCAACAGCATTAGTGCTTTCCTATGACCTTTCAGTAGCAGCAGCTCTGTATTAGTTTTTTGTTGGACTTTGAGAAATCTGCTTAGCTGTTCCTTATCTCCGTGAAGAAAAGGTGGCTAACGCTTGGATTAAATTCTCTGTCTTCCAACAAATGAAAGATGACATTCTTATACTAGACAATAATGAAGGTTAGAAGGCTAGACAGCCTTGCCTTCTGTGGGAACTGAAATAAAAAAGGGAAGAAGAAAGATTTACAGCATGTAAGTGAATTGACTGTATATCAAGATAATGGTTGACTGGAAATTAATTTAATCCACAGTTCCTTCTTTCTTAAAAATAAGTCTCAGTAGAAAATACATTTTGCTCAGTTCACTGGTTGTTTCATATGCATCTTTTTTATTAATGTTGAAAGGAGCACAAGCTGTGCATCACAGAATGCTATTAAACTGTCTATTTTAAAAGCTGACACCTCTCATCTCACAACACAAAATAACGTATTATGTGGAGTGAGAAATCAAAGGACAGGATGTGCTGGTCAGGGAGATTTTAATAGGGCTGTGGTAAATGATTCATATGTAAGGTTATTATGCTGTGGCCAGAAAACTAATGCAGTCTTTCTCTAACTACTAGATTTTGAATCAGAACTAAAGACACATTGTTTTATACTCTGGCCTAATGATAGCTACTGCAGCACTGTTTAGTTCTATTCCTCGAAGTAGAGAACATAGTACGAGTAACAAAAGCATTCTAATACTTGAAATAATGGGCAAATGGGCTAGCTTTTTTTTTTTTTAATAAAGAAAATTACTGGGGTTCATAGATGACCTTCATAAGGAAACAAGAAAGAAAGTCTTGTTATTTATGAGTACCAACAAGGAAATGCCAATTTGAATAATAAATAAATTGAATAAATTCTTAAATAATGTGACATTTATACTTTTAATAAAGGGTATTTAACCAGTGGAAAAACTATGTGTTACGAGCAGTCACACTTCAGAGTGAGAATATTTCTAAAGTCTCATGTGAAGTTACATACAATGATCACAATGGTTCCATCTAGGCTTTTATCTAGAGATCACTTCTCATTTTGTCTCATATTTGTTTTTCCTTTTTCCAGGTGGTGTTCACAGCTAATGATGCTGGTAATCGGCGTTACAAGATTGCTGTTGTGCTCACTCCCTTCTCTTACTCAACCACAGCAGTAGTTAGCGAGCCAGTGGAATAAAATCTGACATTGAGCATGAAAATTCAGTTGTGTAAATTAAAATTTCCAAAAATGATAAGAACTTAGTAACTGAATGTATCAACAGCTTCCGATTTCATAGTAAATCACTAACAGTAAGTTTTTTATTCACTTTGTTAACTTTAGGAAGAAAGTGTATTGACTTTGTTTTCAAATAGTCTTCTGAATTGAAGTATTCTGCATTTCTGTATTGTCAGTATTGCCCTTCTGAATAAAAGTCTAGGATTTGAAAAAAACACATTAACCTCAGAAAAAAAAATATATTGAAATCTCGTTATGGGGACTTGGAGAATAAAGCAGTCTTCCATGAAGCTGATAAACTAAATTCTTCTTGCAAAGGAATTGAACAAAACACATCCGTGAAAGGTGTCTCATGAAAAGCAAGCAGACGGAAAATACAGTCCACCAGTACCATCTCCTATGTTTTATTAATGAAGCTCACAACAGATGAAGTCACATGGGATTACTCACTCAGGGCCTCACATAATTATCAAGATAAACTCACCTCTCAATTCTGATTTTGGAGACATAGAAGTGAAAGCAGGTAAAGGTGACAGAATGGCAGAACAGCATTTACAGATACTAAGCAAGCTACAGATACTTAAAATGCCTTCTTTCCTGTTTTCCTATATATCATAACTTGTGACATTTTCAAGGACGGACCAGAGGCATTTTCAAGGACGGACCAGAGACATTCTGCGTTTCAGAAAAGTATATCACTTGAAGAAGCTTATTCATGTATTTGCGGAAAATTCTGCAAATACTTTCCCAAGTTAAAGTGCTCCCCGGAATTACTTGCATACCTCAAACCATCAGACATTTTCATAATAGCTGGAAAAATGCAAACAAAAATAAGGATAACTGATGAATCCTGAGAAAATCAGTTTCCTATTTAATGCCAGGAGAAATATGGATGAATCCTTCTATTCCCATTCTAGTAATTCCTATATAGGGTAGAACCATTAAGGGATTCAACAGATGAACAACCCTGTCTTGGAAAAGTATGCAAGAACGTTGAGTCACTAGACTAGTAAAACCCAAAGCTGAAAGCCTGTAAATACAAAGAAAGGGAAAACGCCCTGCCTGCCTAGGGCCTGATCCCGTCACAGCCTAACCTGATGAATTTGGACAGGTCTGTCCATTCTTTTTGCTGTTACTTTGGGGTACTGAGCACTAGAAAAACTAGCATTTTGTCTAGAAACAAAACACAAAGATAATATCTTTTCCACAGAATCTCAGAAAAAACAAACCAACACAATCTTTAGAACATTATATTTCATAAAAGACAATGATAAAAAAGTACAAACATTTTCATGAACAACAAAAAAACCCAAAACTATGATAGTACACAGGAAATTCCCAGCATTTGTTTCAGTGCATTTTTTCATTGAGCCTATCTTACATACCTCTACAAATAAAATAATCTTAAGTACACTTCCGCTTGCAGATATGCAATGGATCCTTTTATTTTTTTTAAACAGCTGGCTCATTAGTAACCCACTACAACAATTAGTAAACATAACAATAGAAAAATAGAGTGGCAAGATCCAAGAGAAAGGACATTTTGCACTTGCTTTTCAACACACTGCCTCTTTGCAAAATGGACTTTATATTTTATTCTCCTACTTAAATTTGAAATATAGAAAATGGGCTTGAGAGTATCTTAGCATATTAACCAGATTCTACTTTTAATAGTTCTGTAATGTTTTTACTTGCTAATTTGCAAGACCTTCAGAATCTTGTAAAACACTTCCTCCTTCTTCTCCCTCCATGTTCACTCCTTGAACACATCCCTTATTTGCCTTGTCAGCAATTCAAAAGCCAAGGTGATTGGCTTCTCTCTACATTTTACAAGAACCATGAAATTATCAAAAGGAATGTGCACAACTCTTAGTTCTGCATTGTATTTATTTTGTTTGAAGGCACTGTCTATGTTAAAATTCACTACAGAGGAGTACTGAGTTCAGACAGGTAGTATACAAACACTATTTTGATGTAATTTAAGATGGCAACTTCTAAAACTTCTCAACAAAGTGATAAAAGGTTTTTAGAGAAGAGTGTTTGTCAACAATTCATAATTTAACATCCATCATTTTGGGGCACCAAAATGCAAAATTTTTAAGAACTCAGCTTTATGTCACAATCCATTCACATACTGGTTTAATTCACATTTTTCTAGGACCATACATGATCAATCACTTAAAGCTGAAAAGTTATATTAGTTCAGCCACAGCATATATGTAATATAGTATGCATATATGTAAGTATATATACATGTATATGCATTAGATTTTTTTAAATTGCACATAAATTTCACAGAATACCTAAGAAATGGGAACAAAAGCATTCTTCAGAAAACAGTACAGACCTACAATACCAAAGGATATTTCATAACTGTAGATGTGAAATTGTAGGTACACCTGTACTGAAAACCAGAAATCACTTCAAAATTGCATGAGGGATTTAAAAATTTATTCAACTGCTCTTAAAGAACTGTATTAGTCTGCTATGAAATAAGACTAATATTATTTTGAAGATATAATTTTTTCATACAGTGTATTATCTCAGCTTTCTCCATATGGTTCAGAATGTTCTATACACCCAGTTATAGAAAAAACTATCAGGAGGTGAGCAAACCTCTTAAGCATGCTTTTGAAGGATGTTTTCTTCACTTTATGCTTTTAGTTATTTTCATTGTATTACATCATTCCTAAAGAATATTAGATTAACTGGTAGATATTAAGGTAATTCCTGTATGGTATAAAATATCTCTTACAATTGTTCTCAACTACTAAATTAAATAATAATATTTCTACTAAATATTTGGGATGCTTACAGCTAAGCTCATAACGTTACTGAAGGATGGCTAAGGGCAAAATTTGCTGCTGGGATGCCAAAGAAATAAAAGGTGCTTATGGCAAACAAACTTAAAATATAAAAAGCACCACACCATCTGTGGCAGCAATTTAAGAAACCAACATATAATAATGACTTAAAGTTAGGATTTTTTGTCAACACTCTTACAGAACACGCTATGGATAAACAATCCTTATTATATATACTGCTTTCCATTCTTTATGGGAGCAGAAGTCAGTCTTTGGTTCCTAAAGAGCTGAGTAACCGTGACAAACAAAACAGTTTAGTATATCTTGGTCACTATATTTGTATTAACATAGAAAATAAATGACCTGGTCCTTTTCCTTTGTATTAACAAGGGATGTAAAAAAATATTAGCAAAGATAATAATGCTTAGCAGTGGGATACTTTTAGGTAGCATAACATTACAAACAAAGAGAAAATAAGAAGGTAAGGAAAGAGGTTAGTTACTCATACATTTAACACCACAAAAATAGAGAAACAGACAGGACCAATCCTTAGCGGGACTGTGCAACCTCAATCTCATTGGCAGTCATCGACTTGAGGATCCTCAGTGCATCATAGAAGCACTCAGCACTCTACCAGAATAGGCCCTTAAATAGCTATATTTAATAATATATTATGAGTGGAATTTTAAAAAGCACTTGAGATTGGCCTGCTTTCTGTTCCACTTATGTCATCACCATCCTCATCAGCAGAACAGCACAACCAACACCATGCTTCTGAGAATCCCACACTGCAAGCATTTCGACTATCAGAATTATGTTTTATTATTCTCTTAAAAATCTAACTTTAATATTCTTCCAATGAAGACACATTTTTGGCTCTTCTGATTTTGGAGGAATAAAAGTGCTGTTTACTAGAATTAAAAAAAACCAAAAAAAAAAACCAAAAAAAAAGAACAATACCAAAATACTGTACGCACCCAGACACATCGCTTTAGGCATTAAAATCCCTGACATTGACACTAGTGGCACACTTGGATACAGTTAAGAATTCCTGTAGATCATAATATGCAACAACTGCAAGATTTTCTGTAATACACATGCAATATGCATATAAATACTATTCAGATGGCAGGCAGGGTAGCATACAATTTTGCTGGCAATAAATAAAATCAAAAGCTTTCTTTCTAGCAGGTTCATATAAGAATTTGATTTTTCTAAATAGATATGCAGAAGGCCTAGAGCTCAAAACTAGTATAACAGTTTACAGTCATAGCTGGCCAACAATTAATATTTCCTTCATTTCACATAAGGTATAACCTTTTTATAAGCATACTTACATTTTACACTTGTTCTTTCATGCTAATAAAAACATTCCTATAGAATTCAAACAAGAACACACTGAAATACATACTGAAGCATAAAATATCGAACAATTGAAAAGCAATGTACACACATTAATTTACATCACATATTTACAAAACACATTTTAAAAAGAAACAAAAGCATTCATTTAAATATGAGGAGGGGCAGTTTAGTATAAAAAATTCCTGGAAGAGGCCTCTGTCCTTACTTCCAGAGAAGCTACAAGTCTGTTTCTGCAGTTTATATAGTTGAGTAGTTAAGATAGAGAGTGTGAAGAATGAAGGCTTGAACAGTAGTCTCATGCTGTAAACATCTGAGTGGTAGCTGCTGGCTCTTCTTTCAGACCAAAACATACAGTACATACAATCGCTTCTCATCCCAAATATGCATCATCAGTTGGCCAAAAAACTCTAATTCTAAGCTGTTGTTTGTTGGTTTTGTTTTGTTTTACAGTGTTTATCAGTAGCTTCCAGTGTTAAAAGTTTATTCTGGTAGGATTCTTGCCATCCCACTTCCATCAATAGTCTCTAACAGGAGCAAGTTCTGGTAGGAGATTAACAGTTATATTTTTATACAATCTACTGACAAGTATTTTAGGAGTATATACTAAATTGTTCAGCCCATCAATATACTGACGTTCTCTGGAATACCTCAGAAGTTTGTATCTGCAGAAGGAGTTGGAAGAAGAAAAATGAGAAAAATTTGCAAGAAACAATTCAGTTGATGCTAGACATGATACTGTGACAGTCATTTAATTTTCAAGTATACCTTAAATTCTGAGACTATTTTTCAGACCCTTGAAATTGCCAAATAACCTACCTTAGGTTTAAAAACAAGCTTTTAAAGATTTTAATGCAATTAGATTTTATGGTCACATATACAAGTTAACATTAGGACTAAATAACAAAGGAAGCATTCAATACATAAGCTTCTCATGGTTCCTAACGAAACAGATTTTTAAAGATTATTCAATTTCTTCATGTTTTTTTGCTATAAAATTCAACTAAGGAGTTCAGGGAAGATTTAGGAATCTTCACTATTTTTCATTATACATTTAAATGTCTGAAATTATTTTCATTTCACTCTTGATACTCCTGCATTTGCAAACATCTAAATCTGAGGTGATTGAAAAAAAAGTTCTCCTCCCCCCGATATCCATATACACATTTTCATGTCCTATAACTGATTTACTCATCTCTACTGTGCATGCCTATAATTTTATTCATAATTCAAAACTATGAATAAAAGAGAAAAAATATGCTCTCAGAAAAAGATGACAGAATTGAACAGTATTTCTAGTTGCCTGAAAACACTTATCATAAACCCTTTATTTTGTGTTTCACCTTCTAAATTTTATGTGTAATTCATCTGTTGCATTCTGGTTTCTATTCCATTCCAGGGCAGTCTGAACCTGCTGGTCAGTTTAAGTGTTTTGTATCTTTGTAGCAAAAGAAAGGAACCCCAAAAGAAAAGGTTTAA